TTGTCACTTCATTTTATTGTGTAATTGATTTTGCACAATGTGAGTTTCAGGTTTCACTAAGTTATCAATTATTGTCTGGCCTCTGGTCTGATCTAATGAGATTTAGCTCATTTTCTTCAAAATCTGATAGTTTTGTTTTTAGCATTTCTCAAATTTTAGCTGAAGCTAATGTTGTAGTAACTACTTAACATTTCTAGACTTTCTTTTTCCAAATACAGCAATCTTCCTTACTGAGTACCAGACATGTCATATAGGACAATATATCTTTTATTAAGAGTATTAGACTAACTATCCAGTCTACTGGGATTGCACGGTTTTAATCATAGTTTATGTACAGTAAAACACAGTACTTTTTTTTTAGTACATACAGTGAAGGCATTTTATTAATGCTTCTGTTGCAATAGATAGTGGTGGTCATTCTGGTTCATCTAACTCTATTCATCTACTAATGTTGCTACCATTGCTACTAAATGCTTTCCTATTTAGGTGCCTGAGGTCTTAATTACATTTGCTCTTCTTGCCTTTACTACAATAAGTAAATCATTTGCTATCATAACGTTTGTCCTTTCCTCACTTTGTGTCAAAGATTATTCCCCTCTTCTTCTGTGGCTTGAGGCTTGACACCCTGAGCTGTCATGGAAACTTTATTGAACTCTTCCTCCTTCCTCTATTTTGCCTGTTCAGAAACAGCAGCAGCTGTCCTTTTCCTGCTCCAACAAATCCCTTTGGTTTTAACCATGGTAGGCAGGCATGACAGTAGCCGTTTGTTTGCTCCAGTGGTGGTTTAGTGGGTTTTTTTGTTATTGTTGTTTTTAAACTAATTTCCAGGCAACTGGGCATTAGGATTCAGAGAACATCCTCATCCAAGTTGTGTAAAACGTAATTGTTCAGGGGTCTCTAAAGCTTCTCAAACAGGAACCTGTAAGCCTGTTTACACGGAGGAGGTATCAGGTCAAGAGCATGTAGTACTTTACTTTTGCAATGAGATTCTCCAAATTAATTTTAAGGCATTAGGCTGGTTTTAAAATGGAACTCAGGGACAGCAAGCCATGAATAATTATTAATCAACTCAGGACATTTAAATGTCTTGATTGGTTTTTAATTGCTAATGTACTTTCTCTTGAGGCCCTTCTATTAAACTCCTATGTGGACACTCCTTTATATAAAAGTTGAATAAAATACCTGCATTATGAAATATCATTGTTTTTGGCTATGGTTTTCATAGGTGTAGTCCTGAACCCTTATTTTTGTGGTACATTAAATATTTGATATGTGTTACACCGATATCAGAAGTTATCGTAACCTGAGGGTGAAGGCATTAAATAAAATGATGACCCAAGAAAATGTGAAAGTTTGATTTTGAACATGTGACAAGCTATGAATTAACTTGCAGAGACTGTTAAGTTAAACTTAAAATAACCCTTTTAAAAGTTGTTGAGGATAATGAATTAGCCAGGAGGAGGCAGAGCCTGCTGCTGCCAACTAGAGTGCTTGGGGACTTGAGATAGAAGCGAACGATAAGAAGCAGCTTTCATGCATTCAGATAAATTACATGTTGGGCTTG